ACACTTAGACTCAAGAGCACGCAAGAACTAACATGTTCTGTAGCACAGACATAGCCACGGAGAGCGCTCGAATGATGTATTTGCCCTTCTGCATATCCCCAGAAGACTTACCTGACTGTATGTGCATTTCTTCTTGGCCATTCCCAAAGCGATGCATCGCCGGTCATGCTATGAAAGTGTCCAAACTGCCCACGTTTGAGCTCCCCATCATGATGAACTGCCGCATACTGCGACATCCCTGTTCCTAAGCAAATCCCCTCTCCCTTCCTCAGCATACTCCTGTTCCAGGAACTTCCACATATTAACGTAACTTCCAGGTCTCAGTGATTTTCACCTGAATTTTTCCCCATAACAACTCTCCTTTGACTAGGAAACAGTAGCTGCTGACAAGTGCACCGAATAAAGAGCAACTGGGTAATGGGCTGGCCTCCTCAACTGTGGATTTGGATAATAAAATTGCTTATTATAACAAAAGTCAGCAATATTTTTTAAAAATTAATACATTTTTAAAATATTGTTATAACTCATCACATAATGAAAATAAAACATCTGAGTTAAAATAAAATAAAACATCTGAATTCTGATAGATTTCACATCTACTTCCTTTTATCCTCGTTTCCTAAGTTCTCTCTCTTCAGGAACCTCCAGTAAAATCTGACTAGATGGTCAGGGCAGTAGCTGCATTCAGAAAAGGAAACTCTCTGCTGCCCGATGTACCAACACAGCACAAGCGGTGTTAGAGAAGAGTATTTCTTATCCCTGCCATCCTCCCCTCCCTCTGCTTCTCTTTCATCTTCATTTCTCTGATTTCACTGCATAACTGTTTTTCATCGTGTAGGAAACTTCAGGTGAAAGAGACAGACAGGATCAGGCATAACCTGGAAAAAAATACTGCTTGTACCCACTGAAAAATTGGATCCTACAGTGAACACGCTCTGCAGAGAAGGCAGGTGCAGAGGTGGCACAGCACTTGCCTTTACACTGATCTGGAGCTTATGTTCTGCAAATGGACCCTTTGCTCCAGACCTGTGTGAGAGAGGTGGCCATGCAGGCTGTGCTCACCTGTGCAGGACTGCAGCTGCTGGGTGACAAGGATAACAGCTTTCCCTTGCTAGCCTGAGAGCCAGAACATGCTACCCGCTGCATCAGCAGGAGGGTGCCCATTTCATCTTCCTCTGCGCTGCTTACACCTGGAAGATATTTTGGATAAGTCTGCTAGTCATCCATCATACTCATTTCAATGTTGCTATTTCAGTCTATCAAGTGGCAGATACGGAGGTAAGAGAGCTTGCCAGTAGTTTTTATTTCATTGCAATTCTTCCAGCTCACAAGGAACCTCCAGGAAACTGCATTCTTACAAATGGGATATGCATATCCTGTAGGCAATTAAAAGCTCATAACTGAGAGCCATCACTTTCTTCCTGGCTTTCAAAGAGCGTCCAAGCAAATGGCTCATGATGAAGG